ATCTATTAGTAAATTTTTACATCGACTATATGCACGACACGCAAAGTATGTATCTGGGAATACACGCATCGTGTGAAGGTTTCACCTGTAAATCGGCGTTACAGTCGGATCGAAGTTAACTGATCGTCTAAAATAACACTAGAACTACCGAGCACTGACTTTTCGAAATCTCTATAGAAACTCTAAGAGTGCGTCTGTCGAGACTAATTGAGAATTCAGTTTGCGCATCGCCGAATCAATCTCTTTAACCCTCTGTAGGCCCATGTAACTTTGAAGTCACATATCAGTATATTGGTACCTTGTTGATTTATTTCATTCTGCACTCGAAGTGGTGAATGAAATTAAGTAATCAGATAAACTTTTATACACATGAAAGTTTAATGTCATTGTAACTTGAAAGTTACAATATATATTCGTTTGATGAAATTATTGAAACTATTGAATACATTGTTAATTCGTATTCATATGTGGATATCTATTAATTTTGTACTGCGTAGATTTTGTTATAATGAACAAAAATTCGGTCCATAAAGGGTTAATAACCGTCGATTTCTTTAACAACTTGCGCTGGAAATTAATTCAGAGAAATTAATTAACCTTTTGCACTCGAGAGTTTCTCAATGGAGATATTCAAGATTTTCTGACGAGATATAGGTGATGTTGTTTGAAACTAATTTGACGATAATTCATAGATAAATTACACAACAAAGGTGTTTTATCTATATATTTCACGTAACAATGCAAACTTCAATTTGAAATATTAAATATTCAACTTCATAGTTTTGTATCAAATCATGTGACTGAGTCACCTCTCAAATGCAAAGGGTTAAGAAATCAGAAATGGGTCATCGTTAACCCATTCGGTGGTTCTAGTGTTGAATTCACATTCGCAATAACCATCGTTCAAACTGTACAAACAGTAACAAAGAGATTCGAATTCCAAAAGACATGGGTCCAGAGAGATCTATTTGATTTCGATCCGATCGCAAGCGCCCACGGTGTGTATAGTTCAGTAAAGTTTCAAAGGAACCACGGTGCAACCGATTTTGCATCCAAAAGAGGGGATGTCACGTGCTTTCCGGGCACTCTCGTTCACAGTTCGTCCAACAGACGAACGAACGAGCGAACGGGAGCAAAGCGAAAGACACTTCTACCTTTTTCTTTTTTTCTTTGTGGGTGATAAGACGTTGCTACAAGAGGCACTCGCGCGCACTCCCTGTTACCGGAAGAACCACTAAGAAGAGAGCTTCTTTTCGTGGCGTGCTGCTGTTCCAGACGCTTCCCGCTCGTCACTGCTAACGAACGGCAGCAATAAATAGTGAAATACATGGAACTCAGGTTCTCCGTTTAACGCAGACGTTCGCAGCTTTTTGTTCCCTTTACAACGAGACAACAGAGGGAACCGATCGACTCGGGAGCGAAGTTGGAACAGCACACTAAACGATACGCGCGAAGGAAATACGTTATTTTTTTAAATCGCGATTACTTTGTCGTCTGTATAACGGGAGGCTTGCATGTAAATCGTAGAATGGTAGATTTGTAATCTGATGAAGGAGAGTAGATGGTTAACAGTAGGAAAGGGTATGTAAATGAACGAAAAGGGTATCGACCCTTTCTTAGCGGTTCCTTTAAAAGAAAAACTATCCACCCTGCTTTGTCGAAGGTGTCTCGACGCATGCGGTGTAGCGACCTCTTGTCACGCGTGTACGAAAACGCAAGGACGAACGAATGAAATAATAGCCGGTTTATTTGATACAATAGTATATATTATATATAATATAAAACAAAAGCATTATTGCGGCCGTTATGTACAAAGAGCCTTTGTAACTGGTATTTAATTTACAACTGAATAATAAAGACGTGCTGAGAATCACACCAAAAAGTAAACACTTGTAATTCTTCCTTAAATCTCCTCTCCATACATCTACGGCGCGGCCACCGGTGACGGTGGCTCGGTTTATGCGGCCGGTAGTAGTGATACGCTAAAAATATGCTAAGACGTTACGTATAGCAGACCTGGACATAAGATTCCAATGCGCGAAGGGTGATGCTTCGAGCAACGCCTCGAACAGTTACACTTTCCGTTACAATTACCCTTAAACGTAACAGTGGATTTCATATCGGTAGTATCCTATTCGAATTACACTGAATGTCTAGTATTATCAATGCTTCGCTTACTCGAAATTAGTAAAAAGTATTCTAGAACGTTGGTTCTAAGATAAAAAAAACATTGTTTTAAGATACGAATCGGACCGACTCGTCCGAATAAATTAATGGTAGAGTCCGGTGAACATTCTGTTCGTATGAAGTGACTCGTTCGGGCGACCGCCCTGGAATAGATTTAAATAATGCCCAAGTCTGGCCGTATAAGTAAATAACGACAATTTAGTTTTCGGCGTACATCAGCGTGCTACTCATTCACGAAACTTGGAATGCCATGGAATGAATAAGAGGTATAAGTGCTGTAAATCACCAACTTGGTATTTTGCTCGACGAACTAGAAAAATCCCAATGGTTCCGTCTTGCGACTGGCTCTCTCTCGATCCGTCGTCTTGAGTTTCGTTCGCGACCACCACGTCGTTCGTCGACTTTTTCGACCGCTTGAAGACAACCCCGCGTTCGTCTGATACCGGAAGTGAAATTACAGAGCTTAAATGGTAAATACACGATCATCAAACAGTACAAACTGGACACGATTATCGATACAATTATGAGCGATTCCGATGAGCGTCGAAACGCAACCCTAGTGTTCTTATTTTGTTTTCTTATACGTGTGCCGTCGATCACGCGCTAATGCCATGTTAGAAATCAGGATTCTCCACGGCGGTGCTCTCTTCGTTCGAATATTCAGTTCGAATGTACAGTGCCACTGATTGCACTGCAGTCTTTAATAGTCCCCTGACCTTCGTTACCAATTCATTTACTACATTCTTTGTGGTCTGACCCCATTTTCTCTCGCGATTTCATCGCAACATCGAAACAGCGGAATATAGTTCCTCGGTTCTGCTGTGCGATCGTTTTTAGGGAATGTACGACGCTATTCTTTAAGTCGGCACTAATCAAATTCGGAAATTTTCATTGTTCAAAAGGAAGCCAATATTTTCTGAGCTCTACGAGTCTCTGGTAAATTTGATCTAATGGAAGAAGTTAGTTGTCGATTAATGTTTTTATCGAATCAATTGTTTCATTGCAACAAGCTATCATTGTAGATTAGGTTGAATTTATTTAATTGGAAAGTATCTTAGCAAAATGGCTACTGAGAAAATGAGGGTAACGACCAATTATGAAGTCTATGAACAAAAGTGTAATACTCGAGGAAGGAAACACAGTGTCACCAAGTATGCTATTACATTGTTTTCCACACAGTTTTTCATTTATTGAAATAATTGATATAAGACTAAATTTTAATTCAAGCTATGCAGTTCCGCAATCTATTTGAAACTGATTGAATATTCGATTATATATGAGTTTCTAGAATGCGGTGAACACGTGTCTCCATCCTTAAAGCAATTTTATATAAACAGTATGCTTGTAAGTGAACCCTGATTGCATACATGCCATTAAAGGAAACACACAAACTGTGAATTACTGAATAAATTTTCAAAGAATCGTCACACGTCAGGTTTCAGGTTTATTATGTCACCCAACCGACGGAGATATTACCTCCGCGTATTTTGTCACGGAGAAGAAGTATGCTGACACATCAAGACCCAAAGTGATCCTTGACTAGATGGCGATCTTTTCGAAAATTGCGCGTACGATATAATCCCATTAACGAATAGAATGTGTTCTTATTAATTAATAATCTCATTGTCGTTCTATTCCTACGTGTAACTGCATAATATAAAATCGGGGGAACTATATGTGTAATAGATAATCATAGAGGAACTC